TCAACTCCCAGAATTCCTCAGCTAGCATCGCTGGCTGGGGAATTCTGGGAGTTGAAGTCCACACATCTTAAAGTTGCTAAGGTTAGAAATACTGCATTAATGGCAGAGTAGAGACCTCCAGAAATTAAAATGGGGCTTCTCTGCTGGAATGAGAGCTGATCTGCCTCCCACCCCGCTGGTCCCTCCACTCCATAACTCAGTGGCTTGGTTGGGTTTCTGATTAAGTGATGCAAATCTCTTCCTTCTGCAAGTGGAGTTTCACAGGGTGACTTAAATCAGACATGGCACGCTGCAGGCTTCAAAGGGCCCTCAACCTTTTCCCCACTTCGCTTCGTCTAAACTCCCTCCCTTTCTATGGATCAAAAAGGCATTTTTGCTGCTTACCATCGATTGGCCCAGCTTGGGGCACAGGAAAAGGAGTGCCATGCTGACCCTGCCTTTAATTTACTGTAATCTTTCCAAACTTGGGAGTTACTTTTTTTTCCCCCATTTCCGAAAAGAAAACCTCATCCTTATTTTTGTTTCTTTCTGTGTTTTTTTTCCAAATGTTTTTACTTGTCAGCCGCCCAGAGGGGTTGGGAGTCGGGCGGCATGCAAATTTAATAAATAAATATTCAAACACACTATAAAGGAGGAGGAGGAGGAGGAGGAGGAGGAGGAGGAGGAGGAAGAGGAGGAGGAGGAGGTCCAGCACAGAATCAGACTTGCAAGATTCGGTTATTTTAGCCAATCTCAATAAAAGTGATTTTAGAGTTTCAGGGGAGTTGATGTTCCTGGTCTGGTCTACCTTGTGGGGCTGACAATAATCAGCTTTTACATAGACGTTCAGATTTCAGTTGTCCTCCTCCAGGATACACCATTCTGGGGCCCCCAGTTTTCCATTCTACTATCCCCATTCATTCATTCATTCATTCATTCATTCATTCATTCATTCATTCATTCATTCATTCATTCATTCAGCTTGTTTTGTACCCACTGGACTGTTTTTGGAGCAGGTTAACAAGTCTCTCTCTCTTAAGCTTTTCCTCCTAAAAGTTTTAACTGACTCTTTTTCTTTTAACTTCTGCCAGTTTTGGGGTTCCCACAAGCCAGGTGATAATTCCCTTTCATTAATTTTTCACTAACCCAAGAAATCACAACCCCCCCCCCTCCATTAGCTGTATAAGAGCTTCTCATACACATCTGTTTCTCTGTACACAAAGTCTTGCACAACAGCTGCAGGGAAAGAGGACCCCATTTCCTATCATTTCTGTTTTTCTGTTTCCATTTTACTTGTTTTCTTTCTTTTGTTGTATCAGGGAGATAAAGCAAAAACATTTTTAGAAAGGAAACGGTGGATATTTTATTTAATAGTTTTAATGGAAAGAGGTCTGCCTTTTCGTTTATACCAACCCTTAAGGTGCCTTCCAATAAGGAAAGAAGGAAGATGCCCACCTTTTGCCAACCCTTCAGGTGCTTTCCGAGAAAGAAATAAGCATACAATAAAACATAGGCTTAAAACAAAATCCGTTAACCTGTTAACAACGGGTTAAATAATTATCTGGAAGCTTCAATTAGACTGGAATGCAGTTACCTGGTTCTTGGTGGGTTCTTGAGCAGGATGTGCCTTCTTGCTGACTTCTGTGGGCAATTCAAAGGGCTGCTTTTGACCTCTGAAGTCCAACATCGATCAGTGCTGAGTGCTTCCCCCACCTGCTTGGACCCACCTGCTGCAAACTCCCCAGGAGAACCTATTAGCAATTCTCCACTTTTGGGGGTAACCCAGATGACGTTCCTTATTGGTTGCAGTGTCTGCTCTCTGGAATATATTCTGCCGTGACCTTCAGGAAACTTGAGATGATTAGAAACAGAGCTGTTGAAGAGGACTCTGGATGTCTGAATGCCATCTTCTAGTTATTTCTATTTTGTTATGTTTATGAAGATTCTCAGTCATCCAGGTGGAATGGTCTGGAGGTTGAGTCATGGCAACTGGACTTATTTTCTTTTTTGGTAGAGACATTTCGCTATTTGTCCAAGCAGCTTCTTCAGTCTGAAAAAGTTGGTTAGGGAGACCCCATAACCAACACAGGAGTAGACATCTACATCTCAAAGACTCTACTAATTACATCTCCTATTGTCCCTCAACAAGCCTATCATGCTAGTAAGAAACACCGCCACCCTGGAAGACTTTTATGGGGTCCCCCAACCAACTTTTTCAGACTGAAGAAGCTGCTTGGACAAGTAGCGAAACGTCTCTATGAAAAAAGAGAAGAAGTCCAGTTGCCATGACTCTATTTTGCCATCATCTCCCCCTGCCTTCATATTAGAATTTATATTTTCCCTTTTGATATATAATGTTTTTATTGAAAGTTTTTACATGCCTAAAAGAGAAATGGACAGGAAAGAAATAAGAAAAAGAGAAGAAAGAAGAAGTGTGTGAAGGGCAAAACAGAAAAAGGGACAACTTATATTTTTGATGCGGTTTTGTGATTTTAACTTTGGACCATTTTGTTTGATCGACGGTGTGCATGCTGAATGTTTTAGTACGAATTACTAATTGTAACCCACCAAGAGTCGACTGATTGCGGTGGCCAGAATCGAATAAATAAATAGGTTTTAAGGATCTTGTTACCTGCAACCTTTTGCTTCTCCCTAAAATGTCCAGGAAAGTCTAATTGGTTTTTGAACCTTCTCAGAGGAGCAGATGAGTTTTGTGAAGCTCCTATATTGAGGCTTAATATTTGAATGATTCTGATTTATTTCTCTGTTAGTTCTTAGAGTTTCTCTGTCTGAATCTCTTTTTTAAAACATGTTTCGATAGCTGATGTTCATATTTTAGCTTGTTGTTTGGAACTGTGTACGGTTTGGCTTCTGGTGTGTAAGACTAAAAAATTCAATTTATTTTCTCTGTTTCTTCTTCAGCTAGCGCCTGAAAACACTCTGATGTCCTTCCAAAAAGCAGTTGAGCAGAAAGTCTACGGTGTGCAGGCAGATGTGGTGATCAGGCAAGTCTCTCTGCTTGTCCTCAAGGGCTAAGAAGATTTTTGTTTCCAAATTCCCTGCCCTGGTTCCTACTTCTGTGCTGCTGTCAAGCCTTTAATAGCAGAGATTCACAGTGGCTCTCATCAGTTGGGTTTACTATCAACACTGTAACGTAAAGGGCTAAGAGAGTGAACCTTGGAAATTTGAACAAGCTTAAACTCTAGCCATCATTTATTAGTGAATTCATTAAGGTGGGGGGAGGTTTCTAAGAGTCATTTAAACCTTTTTTTCCTAGAATGCAGGACCAAGGGACCATCAGCTCTTTTTCCAGATGAACATTGTAAAATCCATCTACTCATGGTAAATCATGCTTTGAGATACTCTCAGTCCCAGAGATCTCTCATATATCTGCCCAGTTGATTAGATTTATAGAGACAGGAAGGCTATTTGGGACCTGGCAACCATGATACCATTTTAGCAGTAGATGAAGAGGATGGAAGCTTCTGAGCTCCACAGAATTCTTTATCAGGCTGGATAAAAGTGAGCAAGCTTTCTGACGCCCCCTTAGGTGCCTGATTCAAAGTGGATTCTGGGGATGAAAGAAGTGCTCTGAGCAAACATGACTCCATCTCTTTTAAGCCAACGCTGCTCTAGTTCCTCAGGTGCTCTCACTTGAAGGTTGGATGGCAAAGTTCAGGAGATGTCCATCAAGATGTGTCAGGGCTTGGAATGACCATGGGAAGCCTTCCTCAATCTCTGGATGGAATTTGATGATAGGTAGAGAAGGAAATTCAGGAGGGCCACCCTAGAACAGTAGAGATGTTTCGTTTCTACCCTTCTGTGAACATTTAGTTCAGATGATGGATATTCACGAATGAAGACTTCTCAAAAGCAATAAGTATAATATGAGAAAAAGCAATGTTTATAAGATGCCTAGGGTCCGGATTAATTTTGAAATGAGCCTGGGATCAGACGGGGGGCCAATGAAAGTGGTATAGTTTATTATTATTATTGTTGGCTGCACAGTCAGCCAGATATTATTATTTGCAATAAAAAATAGAGAAAACGTTATCAACAGAAACCATTAAAGACCAAAAAAAAATTAAGAAAAACGTGTTGGTTTTTTTAAAAAAAAAACTGGCAATATACTGCCATCCAATGGATAATCTCATTAATTACTAAATCTGGTTGCCAAAACATATAAACAAACAAAAAGAACAACCCCCTCCCCCATCCTTTTTTTGTTCTGGTAGGTGCAAAAATGCATCTATTGTGAGAAACAGGCAGGAGCATAGGTGTCCTTCACCTGAACATTCTTTTTTAAAAAACCCCAAACCGGCGTAGGAAAGGCATAATTGAAGAGGGGGAAAAGGATTTCTCTGGGTGGCACAGTTGCAATCAGGTGCCCTTTCTCACACATGACAAGAATTTCATGCCTATTTGCAAGGACCCCAGAAGCATCTGGTTGGCCACTGCAAGAAGCAAAATTCTGAGCTGAGCTGGGCCCTCGGCCTGATCCAGCAGGATAATTATGACGTTCTGGTGTTCTTATGTTCACAGTTACGACGGAGTGCCTTTTCTAATGCATGACAAGACATTGCGGAGGACGACCAACGTGGAGGAAGTGTTTCCAGAACTAGCCTATGAACATTCCTCCATGTTCAACTGGACAGATTTGGAAAGACTGAACGCTGGCCAGTGGTTCCTCAAGGTGTGTAAGTAAGTGCATTTAGGAATTCGCCATTTTGGGCCGCAGGATTAAGAACGCGTGTTTTGCTCCTCACAAACCTTCCTGAGGTTGATAAGAAGAAAAAAAATGAAAGTATGCCTTCACCTTCTCCCCAATTACAAGGGTCTCTTCTAGCTCTCTGCTTATTCCTGGGAAATTGGAATAACACTTCCAATAGAAAGTGGAATGCCAATATCATCATGCCCTTATATAAATTAATGATGTGCCCACATCTGGAATGTGGTGAGCAGTTCTGGCCACCACACCTCAAAAGGGGTAGAGTGGAGCTGGAGAAGGTCCGGAGGAGGGCAACTAAGATGGTCCAGGGGCTGGAGAAGCTTCCCTATGAAGAAAGGTTGCGACATTGGGTCGCTTTGTAGCCTAGAAAGGAGGCAAACGAGAGGGGATGTGGTGGAGGTGTACAGAATTATGCATGGTGTGGATAAAGTGGACGAGAAGCTATTTTCCGCTTCCCAAAATACTAGAACCAGAAGTCACCTAGTGAAATGGAATGTTGGAAGAATCAGGGCAGACCAAAGGAAGTATTTTTTAATATAATTCAATTTTGAAATTTGCTACCACAAGATGTGGTGCTGACTACCAGCTTGGCTGGCTTCAAAAAAGGGTTGGGCCAATTCGTGGAAGTCCTGGGGATCCGTGGCTCTTAGCCTTGATGTCATGGAACCACTCTGAAGGGCACCTGCTGGGAGACGGGTGGGCTTCCTTGGGCAGTTGGTGGCCCACTGGGAGAACAGGCTGCTGGACAAGATGGGCCAGGGATCCCATCTAGCAGGGCACAGCTTATGTTTTTTTTTTGTTCCATTCTTGGCTGCCATAGTGTTAAATATTGGATGAGTGATGGGATCATACTTGAAATTGTTCTCTATTACTGACTTGGGCATCTTCCAAGCTCCTCCCTTGCTTGCCAGAAAAAGGATTTGGTCCCCTGTTTCAGACTCTCCTGCAACCTGGGCTTGTGGAACTTAGATCTTAAGTTGCAAAGATTGTCCACCTGATTTCTCAAAGCAAACTTGCCATCTTCAAAGTACAACGTTCACATTTCTTCCCACAGAGTGACCCCTTCTGGACAGTCGACTCCCTTTCCCCATCTGACTTCGTAAAGGCTGCAAACCAGTCAGTCTGCAAACTGACTGAGATGCTGGAGACAATCAAGGGCAATGCCACCGTCCTCTTGAATGTCCAAGACTTGCCCGAAGAGCACCCATACTACAGTACTTCAGTCAACATCACCTTGGAAACTGTTCTCACCTCGGGCATCTCTCAGCAGGCTGTGAGTTCCACGGGACTTTTGTAGGTAGCTGCTGGACGGTCTTGGGGGCTCCTACACAGTGCCAGCAAAAATTAAATGAAAATCCAAAGCAGAAGGGGGTTTATGGATAGATAGAACAACCTCTTCCCAACTTGGATACAGGTAGTTCTCGCTTAATGACCACAATAGGAACTGGAAAATTGGTCATTAAGTGAGTCACCACATAACCAGATCCTGATTTTACGACCATTTTTACAATGGCCATAAAGCAAATAAATGTCATAAGCAAATCATGTGGTTGTTTAGTGAATCACGTGGTTGTTAAGCAAATCCAGCTTCCCCAATGGATGTTTTTTGCTGGAATTAACTATGGTGATTTGATTAAAGACTGGTGATTCACTTTACAACCATCGTAAAAAAGGTCACAAATCGCAATCACATGACCGTGGGGAGTGGTGCAATGGTTTGCGACAATTGTACGTGCAAGTAGAGGTCATAAAGCACTTTTTCCGAGCCTGTCATAACTTTGAACCGTGGTTAAAGGAATGGTCATTAAGCAAGGACCACCTGTATGTCAGATCCACAAGGATGACAAGAGTTGTCGGACAGTCCCCCTGGAAGATGGCAAGTTAAGAAAAGTCTGGGAAGAACCGGCTGTCAAAAATGGTTGCACTTTGTTCTTGCACCAGAAACAAAGAGAAGAAGGAGACTCTACCCTGGAACTTCTCAAGAGCTTCCCATGCTCGCTTGCCAGCTGTGTGATCCCAGCCAATCACAGTCAGGCGAATATGGGCAGCCAAACAGGGTGATGTACATGGGCAGGGTCAATGAAAGCAAATGAAGTCTTCACGTTACCCTTCACAGAAGGTGAGGGGCCTGTTGGATGACTGATGGAGACTCCAGATTTGCTAGGTCTGCCATTCTTAGCAGCTCAAAGGTTAGAAATCCTGGAAGACGCGTGCGTGGGATCATGAGGCTGGAGAAACCAGGGTGAAGCCATTGCCTCCCTGCTCAGAAACGCTCGTGTTCATTTTGAAGGCTGTGTTTTCCGAGCAGCACAGAATGCCCCTGTCTTAGCTCACCTTCTGCTGAAGGTCCCTCAGATGCCGGGCATCCAGGTCCGATCTGTGAAATCTGGACTCTTTGGGCCAGGGGTGGAAAAACGTCGTGTCATTGCCTACCTTAGACCACAAGACAGTTGGGGGCTTCCCCTACTGGGTTGTTGCTAAACCGCGGGAGAAGTTTTGAGTCTTTCTAAGAAGGGGTAGGTGGTTTTGAGATTGTGCTGAAGCTGAAACTTCTAACAGTTCACTGATGGGGAAGGTCCCCTGTTTAACTGCCATCTGTCTTTCTGGGCACGTGATGCCACAACCCTATTTTTGATTAACTCTGTGCCTGCTCCCAAAATATTTGTTCTAGGGAGTTGTCCTAGCCGGTCAGTGTTTCATTCCCCCGCTGCCCCCAGGCTCTTCGAAAACTCTGTTTGTGCTTCTTTTCATCTTGGTTTGCTGTTGCTTTCAATGAGGAAAAGCAAGCTAACGTTGTGGAGTCCTTAGGGTTCTCTGAGCTTGGTTGCTTTCTTGCAAACATTTCGTTACCCATAACGAAAAAACAACCAAGCTCAGAGAACTCCAAGGACTCCACAGTTCAACCCTGAGCTACACATATTCTCTTCTGCTGGTACCAAGCTAACATTCTCAGCTTTTCTTTCCCTTCCTTTCCTGCTTTTTCCCATCTGAACCCTGGGGTTCGCTCCCCCCATCTTATATCGTCTCCTTGTCAGATTGTGCCCCGTTTAGGGTTTCCTTTTGAGTAACGTCCCTGATCTCTCCCACGGCAGAGATGCTAAGGTGCCCAGGAGCATAGTGGAGAAATTCAGAATTCTCGTGCACCTGTAATGGGAGAACTCCACATCTACCTCTCTTTTGGACCTGGGCCTTAGTTCATTGGAAAAACATAGGTGTTTTGCATGTTTAAATATTTGAAGTGCAATCAATTTGCACGTGTGCGTGGAGGATGGGATTGGGTCTGAGAGCAGGTCTTGAAGGGGAAAGAGGAGAAAATGGATTTTTGTTGCAACCCATGTTGGGGTGGGGGTTGAAATCCAAAACAGTTTCAGTGCTAATTCAGAACCTGTAATGGAAGCCATGGACTGCTTTGCAGGGGAGCATTAAGCCAACTTTTTTCTCTGTTCACCCCCATCTCCTAATCGTATTATGGGAGGAAAAAAGACTATATTTGCGCAGCAACTGAAATGCTAATCTTTTCCCGGTTAATTTTGACTTTAACTTGCTGAACGTTTTCATTCAGGAAGCGGGGGGAAAGAAAAGAGAGTCAGAAAAAAATCTCGGTCTGCAGAGCTCTTTTTCCAAACATCTCCCGTCTTAAAATGACCAACTCTTGGGGTACCATAGCCTAATCCACTTACGGTTGCAGAAGCTTCTGTGAAACGGGGTGCTGAATCTGAAGTGCCAAGGGAGCTGGCCTTCAAGGTCCCATGAAGGTCTTTCGTACCTTTACTGCAAAAGGCTAACCAGACCGCCATCTCCGTAGAAAGTGGCTTCCCCGTAGCTATAAGAGAGGAGGAATAATTAGGTACCCGGTGAAGGAGGTGGCATGCAGAAAGACTTCAGAAGGATTTTCTCAAGCAGGAATCCTTCAGACGTGCTAAAATCATAGAATGGGCCACAAGGATCCTTTAGTCCAATGTTTCTCAAAGTTGGCAACTTTAAGAGGTGTGGACTTCAACTCCCAGAATTC